TTTTTTTTCATTACAACATACACTGAATATATACTAACATAAACGCAATATATACCACTTGACAACTGCGTGAATTAAGGAATTCCAGTTGCGCACATATATGTACAATATATGTACATCTTAGGGATAGGTACAGTTATTATATATGTACAGTTATTTTCTGAAACTAGTTTATTTTTGTGAACGGTTTGTGCTTTTGGATGTTGAATGGATGTTGAATAGTATTGAGATTTTGAGGGTTTAAAAAAAAAACCACACCCCAATCAGTATATGTTGAGTATATATAGTATATTTTCAGTTTATAGACATTTTACATCTGGATTATTTACATTTTGCTCAGACAGCACATATATGTTGTGTGTATATATAGACAATATATGATGAGTATATGTACAATTTATGTTAAATATATAGTTTCTTAATCTGTTTTGACAAAAAACTTCTCAGAGGATAATTGTCGAACACTTGGTATGCTTGATTTGTTGATAGATGGTTCTACTCTGTACATATTGTGGGTATATGTTGTAAGTATATAGAGTATATTTTCAGTATATGTTTCGATATGAAAATTTGTATGTATGAAAATTGTGTTCGTGATTTATATGTTACCATTAGATATTAAAATTTACATGTTGCGGATATATGTTGCGGGTATACACCAAGTTGTACAACACACATATATATAAAATATGTCTAAAATACACACTCGAGATTCTCGTAATTCAAGTCAGCAACCACATATACATAAAATATACTTCAAATATAAACTCGAATTTCAATCGTTTCTTAAAATTGATTTCAGAACCCACCTATACATAAAATATACTTAAAATATACGCTCGAGATCGCGTAGATGTTACGAGCAAGCAAAAAGATTTAGGCGGTGGTTGAGCAGAGTCCATGTTGTACACATGCTTGAACTCCTGTGGCTTCACGATTATAACCATCTTATTTTCACTTCCATTCCCTACAATATATCCCTTTGAAATCAATACTCTAATACCATTCTGTTTCCAATGATATTTGTAATTTTTTTTATTTCTTTTTAGCTCTCTGCAAGTCTTTATTTTCTTACAAACTCTATTGATATATTGCAATGTGCAGGAGTTCAAGCATGTGCACAGCATGGGAGGAGTAATCAATGCTTGGATTGACAATGGATTTGAGGTCGAGAAGCCACATAATGAGGTATACGTTTCAAATGAAGATTGAGTTTTTTTTTTTTTTTTTTCACGCAAAAGATATGGAAGGAAGGACGTTGCAATGGTAACAGAGATTTAGGCAATCTCGTAATTATTTTTGGTCTATTAGGTAGATACCAAATTATTGTTATTGAATGATAAATACGAAATATATAATAAGGATTAACATAATTCACTTTTAGAAACACTTTCCCGCCAATTTCATTAATTATTGTCTAAACATAGTAAATTAACAAAATCGCTATTTATTAGCATATTTGTTTTTCCCGATTTTTTTTAGGAATACAATAAAAAAAATATGGAATCAAAATCCAAATAAATCTCCTCTTTTTGTGGCTGGATATAAATCTCCTCTTTTGAAGGTCGCATATCCTGCGTTTATTAAGAAGTCTTCCAAAAACAAAAGATTAAGCTAAATTGGTTAGCAGATTCGTTGATTACATTTCAAAATGAGATTAACCTTTTATTTCTTTGTTAAATTTTTTTAATGATTTTAGAGAAGTAGATTGAATTTTTAATTAATTGCTTTTGAAAAAAATCTGATACCTGATCCTTTTTTTTATGTCATAACGAATTTTGTTGTCAAAATATGATTTACATGGTGTGCTATTCATATTTATCATTTGAAAAACTGCTTGCTATTCATATTATGATTTGAAAAACTAAATCTCATGTATAATGAAACAAAATAATTTCAAAAATCACATTTCCGATCGATGTTAAAAATGAAACTGTTAAAATAAAATAGATAATCACAAATCCATATTATCACAAGTCAATACATAATTAAATAAAATTTCATATTCATAAATTATAATTAATATATATTTTACGGGTAGAAAATTATATGTGTAAATGGTGCTACGGTAAAATATTCATATTTATTTACACATAAAATAATCTTTATATTTATTTGGGAAACGTTTAAGAAAGAAATATTTCACACGTATATATTTGTAATCTTTACAAATATAATCTTTACTTCACGGGTACGTGAAATATTTATATTTATAAATATTTACGTGTAATATATACAAATATTACACAATAATTTACAAAATTATAAATTTTACATGTTAATATAAATATTGTTAGCACAAATAATTAATCGTGAAAGTCCTACTCTCATTAAATAGCCATAATTATATAATAATATTATATTATAATTTTATTTCGTGATGTTAACAATCCGAAAATCAACAAATAAGTAGATAAATGAAGTGTCTATGCAATTAGCAATTACTATAAATATCGATTTACAGTTGTCAAGTGCAAAATAATTTGCATGAAAAATCAAGAAGGATTTTAACAATGTATGACTTTTTCATTTTTCTGATTACCTGACAAATGCCCTACGATATTATTATAACTTATTGATTAATATTAGCCTTTAATTATAAATTTTACCAAAACAAATACAGCCCGTGCATTGCACGGGGTTACGTACTAGTATCTTTAATTTCATGTAGCATATATAAAAATTTCCCTATTTTAAAAGGTTTATGAGGGTACAAATATTAAAGATAGGTCTCGTTTTTTTTTTTTTATTATTATTATTTTTTTTAAAAAAAAAAAAAGAAAAATCAACACCCTATATAGGGATTAAGGCCGGACCCCCGACCTACCTATTAAATATAGGCCTTAAAACTGGACATATGGCACATAAACCTCAACAAGCTCATTTCTTGATGAAGG